CGCCACCTCAACGTGGCCTGACAAGCAGTGCCATGTCCGCGCCCAGGATCTGAACCCTGGGTTGCCGCAGCGGAGCCCACGAACTTAACCACTCGGCCACGGAGCCGGCCCCTGGGAGAGAGTTTGATGTGCATTCTTTAGCTGGCTTTACTTTCTGTCCTTGGTCATATAAGTTTTCTGGATAGTTGGAGAACGCTTGAACTCAGTGGGTTATATTTTTCTTTTAAAGATACTGTCTGCTTAAGAATGCCTATTCCAGGATGCTTATTTACATGGGCAAAAGATGGCTGTAGGAGCCCACTTTTTTTGATTGTTGCTAGAGTAGACCCCTGACACCTGCATGTCTGTGATTTAAGGGCTCCAGCATGGAAGAGCTCCCTGTCCAACAGTAAAAAGGCTTCTTTAAAGGTTGGGTAATGCAGCCTCTTAGGCCTCTCTCATAATGCCTCTGATCTCAGGGTGTGGCCCTTTAAGACAAGGCACTAGCTTATTAGGTATTTACATTAGAGGGGAAATTAGATCAAGCTGCTTGTACTGGCCTCTGCTCTCTGAGAGCTAGGTCTTAGATAAGGAAGGGGAGATCACTGTGAAGAAAGAGGGTAGGATGTACGCTGTCTGAGGAACGGAGATAGGAGTGAGGCACTGGGAAGGGGGTGGGTTGGGGGCGTGGGGTAGAATGAGGCCTGCAGCAGGGAGATGAATGGGTTCTGAGGAGAAATATCTGTTTCATGGTTTTTCCTGGAACTGACCCAAACTGTAGTTAAATTCCATGTGTGTATTGAATAAAATAGATTGGAATTCCAGTTTTGCTTGGAATTTGCATTTGTGTTAAAGAATGAAGGTTTTTGTTAAAAAGAAGACATGAAACCAAAGTTCGGTGTTTCCCCTGCACTGGTGTCCCCTTGAGAAGACTGTTGAACCCACGTAATCCTAACCCGAGGCACTATTTTGCTCCTGGCTTTGGCCCTTAGCCATAGTGTCATGGACGCGCTGCTCCCTACTAGGGAAGAAGGTGTTCACCTACTAGAGGGGGAAGGCAGGGGCCCATCTGCGGATGCTGTGACTGTCTCTGATTAGACCACTTCCCACCCTGAGCCCAGCTCTCTTACGTGACCTCAGACCCTTTGGGCCTTGGGAGGCCTGAGGTCAGCCCAGGGGCACTGCCCTTCTAAGAATCCAAGGAAAGCATGGACTCTCTCTCTAGAAAAATGCCCAGACACACAATTTTTATATAAAATGTCCAGGGTTGTAGTGGATGTCTTGAGTGTCACTGGGGCCCAGATTAAGAACCCTTGTTCTGGGGCACAGTCACTCCTTAGCCACCAAGGAGTGTCCCTAAACCCCAGCCTGCCATGTAGCTTTTTCCTGTCCATCAAATTCACTTGTCCTTCCCCCCATTTGCTAATGGACATGAGTCACTGGATTTTCACAGCACTGTATGCCCTGAGGTGCTCATGTGGTAGAAATATTGAGTCATAATTATTGTTTTTATTAAAAACCTCATTTTTCCAAAGCCTACTTCTCTTTAAAACATATTCTAATTCCATTTTATCTTCAACTTTCCTTGCATTTTTATGGCTGGGCTGGCTCATTTGCAAAGATCTCTGGGGGACGGGAAGATCTGAAGATTCTTCTTGCTTAATTCTTATGAACTTTCTCAGTGTTATAAAACCATTGCTTATTTTCAGTTTTCTTCTGAGACAGAGAAACGCTGTTCTGCCGCTTTTGATCACCTCGAGACAGTTGTCACTGCTTTACAAGCAGAAATCCAGAGGGATTTGTGGGTGTGGGCATGCAGGGGTACCCAGAAGAGAAGCAGAACTTTATGAGAGGGAGGGTGAGAATGTGGAAGGGTACTTGGGCCTGATTATAGGAAATAGACTTAGATCCAGTGACAATTATTGATATTTTGGATTTTCCATCAGAGTAGCAGAGTCAACAGACGCTTGATCCAAAAATGGAAAGTTTTCTGCCTTTAAAACTCCATCAAAGGCTGGTTCTTCAAATCCTCCATTTCTTGTAGCAGTGGTGCTTTGTGGATGCCGACAGATTTGTATTTACATTGTCAACTGACCTGTTTCTGACTGAGTTGACCTGTTGCATACTCCCAAATCTCTATCCATGTGCCCCGTTCTGGACCCACAATAGAGGGTGGTCTCTCCTTTCTGCAAATGGACTGAGTTCAGTGTAGGTGCAATGGAGGGTGTCCTCTGAGACCTTCACTAACAACGTGATGAATGAAACCAGCTTTTTTTTTCCAACCCTGATTATTTACTTGAGATTGAGTAGGAGAATTTTTTGCAAATCATACAATAAGTAAAAGGACAAATTCTCAGAAGCTGTGGGAGACAGAAATATTGCTGGATCCTTTTTTATGCTTAGGGCATCGTTTGCTAAGGATCTGTGCCAATGAGGGGGCTGTGTTGGGCTCCCCATGGCTTTTCTTCCCTTGGCAGGACTTCAGAACCCTGAGGAGTTCTGGCCACCGGTCGCCTTGGGATGAGTCAACTTCTGGGACCTGTGCACCAGCCTTAATTCTCTGTGCTGGAGCCCCTGTCTCTGAGAGGCATCGTCAGACTCAGAGGAAATGTGATGTTGACTGAAGTGGGAAGAGCTGGAGAGGTTTGTGTGCACGTTAATGTGTGTGCTTCGTATCATGTGGCAGGATCTTGCAGAAGGCTTCCTGGCTCTGAAGTCTGGACAAGCTGGTTTTAATTTTCAAGTAAGGCAGACAGCAGGAGGAGGTGTGGTCCCAGGTGGTCTGTAAACACGTCACGTCGCACTGAGCGTGGCAGTGATTGGGAAGGATGGAGATTTCCCAGTGTGCTGGCTGGTGGGCCAATGGGAAATCACATTTTCAGAAGAAAGAATCGTTCTCTGCTTCATAAAGCTTATGGCAACCTCACTTGAGCTATGGACTGGTTTGCAGTCAGTACTTTGTGAGAACAACTAATTTCAAGCAGGAATAATTGCACTCAGGACGCAGCCCCCTTTCTTGTTGAGGTGTTTAAGGACTTTGCATGCCACGCCTGCCCCCTTGGGTGCATGATGGTGGCTTGATTTGCTCTTGTCCTTTTTCCTCTCAAAGGCCCTTCCTCCCCCAGCTGCCCCTGGGTTGTGGGGAAGTCTGCTAATACAATTACCGCCCACCAGGTCACCGCAGAGAAGCAACAACAGCAACACCTGTGCCATTGGAAGGGCTTGTGTCTGAGCTCTCTGCGTCGAGTGGCGTCTGATTGGAAATGCTCGCTCACAGTGAAATGAGACAGCCATCCACTTAACAACTTGCCTGAAATCCGGAGGAGTGGAAAGAAAGAAGGGAGAGCCAGGAGGGCGGGTGGGTAGGAAGGTGGCCCTGCTCTTCCTTGCTTTAGCCCTTCAGACTCGTGACCGCGGTGGCGTGGCTGCAGCAGGCGCTGTAACGCAGCAGATGGGGGCGTCAGGAGGAGAGGCAGAGTGGCCTCCAGGGCACTGACTGTAAGTGCCGGAGTCCAGTCCCCTCCTTCACCAACTACCCAGCATAGGAACAGGGCAGCCTAGAGCCGCCGTGCTTCCCTCTGTTAGTCTTCTCTGGAACAGCATGGAGCCAGGAGGCCTCAGTTATTTCAATGTATTTTACCAAAGCAACTTGCCAGTGACGTCAGATAACATACGTGACGATGAGACTAGAGAACCAGGCACACGCTGGAGGGAAACTCAACTCTGGCCTGAGGGACAGCCCCTTGGGCTTCCCTGGGGCCTCCCCAACTGTCTCTCCAGAAGTGGGGTTATTCAGAGGTGATTGAGAATCATTTGAAAAGTAAGTCTATGGCAAATGTCTAAAATGCCTACCCCTGGGGGGGACCACTGTATTTCCTCTCTGGAGCGTTGGTAAGGAATGGCCACCATGTGTATGTTAGGCCAGACAATTGCAACCACTCTGATCACTAAAATAACCTTTGCATATTGGAAGTGCCTTTAGATAAAATGGGGCGATTCTGTCTGATGAGGTTTATAAATCAGTTTTGGCATGGGCATTTGGGCAAGTCTGTGTCCTTTTATATTTAATACCTTTGAGCTCCTGCATTTCTGTATATGAAGTTCATGATGTCTGACCTGTCCTTAATAATTAGAAACAATTGCATAATGTTTTGTGCAAAGTGCTTTTGCTTACATGTAAACAAGCATCATAAGAACATGGCTAAGTGTGGAACGGTGGGATGGGGTTGCTTCATTCAACACAATTCTGAGGACATCTTGACATTGTAGCCAGAGTTGTTGGTTCTTGGGTGTTGGGAAGTTTTGTGCTCAGTCATCACCCTTGCATATTTTGTTTATTAATTTGCCTGTTTTCTATATAATTTGTAAAATTGGAATCAAGCAGTTGAATTAATAAACTTGCATCAAGGAAAGCAGGGTCTCTTGGCCAGCATGAATCTCAGCAGTGTTATAAAATTTCAGAGTTTTTCCCTAATTTTCCATTTTTGTCTTCCTCCCTAAGTTATTGCCATCTTGGAGCCGTTTTTGTTTACACTTGCTGTAGTGATATTAATTGATGTGAGTAGAAATAGTCTCAGAGTAAATTTTCCCCAAAATAATTTCAGTCAGTCCCAGGGGTATCTTACTTTTACTTACAAACAGAACATTTTCCGTTAGACATAAAGTGTCCTGGGGTCTGCGAGTTAATAGGGGAATATTGTTTGGGAATAGTCAGGATTGAGGGGGCTTGTGTACTAGAGTTAGTTTCTTAAAGGGCAGGAAGCTTTCTTGTCAGGGAGAGTCCTTAGGCCGGAAGGTTCACTCATAGATGATGGGAAGACGAGAGGGCAGTGCAGTGGCTAAAGATGGCCTGTACCCCAAAAAAGGGTCATCTTCCACCCTCTGGCCAACAGGACTGGTCAATAGAGAAACTCTTCCTGGCAGGATCGGGCTCCTGTCATTGCTGTGCACATGGGTTCATATGCTGTGGTTCTAATTTCTGCTGGACCAGCTGGTGATTTTTACTGATGATCTTGTTTTAGCCAAACTTAGGCCCTGAATTGGTTTTGTCCGAAGATGAAAAAAGCGACACTGAAGATAAGGAAGAGACAGAATTGGGCGTCATGGAGGATCAGCGTAGTGTAATCCTTCATCTCATTTCACAGCTCAAACTTGGAATGGATTTGACCAAGGTAGGTGGGCATGTCCCGCTGGGTTGGTGGCCAGTTGTTTGGGTGCTGTCTCTGCCTCCAAGTCTTCCCTACTCGCATTCTTTTCACTGTGGGGAGACTGGGAAAGTGCGGTGAGGCCAAGGTCAGGATCGCAGTCAAGTGTGGCTATTCCAGGCATAATCTGAAAGGATAGTTTTACATAAATGCCCCTCCTCAGAGCATGAGCCTTGCATTTGATGCTCTGGAGGAGCTGGGCCTCTACCAGGGGAGGGAGAGCATCAGAAAAAACATGTAAGATGGTAAGGAAAATTCACGAAAGAATTTCTTGCTGTGTCCTAGAAAAGATTCAAGGTGACCTGTGGAGATGGATATGGCACATTGACCACAGAGAGAAAATAGGAGGAAGGAAAATGGTGGAGCCAGGAGTGAGGCCACCGTGCGCACCTGGCCATGACCTGCTGCTAGCTATATTAGCTTTAACAGCTCGTCTCCAAAGGGCAACCTTGTTGGTGACCCAGATCTTATTTTCCACACGTAAAGAAACAAACTCGATGATGGTAGATGTGCAACCGACTCTTCCTGGTGCCTTGTCAGCCAGGATTCTTCCTAAGGAACCTCATCAGGAGAGCCCCGTGTCCTAGCCACTGATGGCTAGTCGATGGACCCATATAGAGCTTCCCTTGCCTTGAGTCGGTGGCTTCATTCTGGAGGCAAGCAGGAAAAGCAGTTTTGTGTGTCACTGAGCGGTGGTGTGGTGTCATCAGGGACATTGTGGGGTGGAGGAAAGTGCTTGAACTTTGCTGTCTGGTCCACCTGGGTTCCATTTCCAGTCCTGATGCCTCCCTGGAAGGGTGGTGTGAGAATCAGAGTTTGTGTGTAGACACTTAGCCTGGTGCTGAACTCGTACTAAGTACGTCATCGTTCTTCTCCTTACGAAGTGCTGTGTTGTGTGGTGGACTGTGTGGTGCGGTAGAGGAGCAGCCATTGGGGGGGAGGGGAGAGAGACAGAGACGGAGATATGACCCATAGGGAGCGTGTGCTGGGGAATGAAGGTTCTAGATTCTGAAAGCCAGCCAGGAAAACGTGGACGTACTTGAAATGGTCAGAGCCACTGAAGGCACAGCCTGTGGAAACCATCTTGAGGGTAATTGCCTTGTTTGGCTGCAGTGAAGGGTCTGGATTCCACAAGTTCACCTCAGACTGGGCTGGAGCCCAGAGAAAAGAGAGGGCAGGGGCTGGGGGGAGAGATTCTTTGAAGAGGAAGGTGACAACATGGTGACTGGCCATTTCCAGCAGACAGAGGAGTCGGGAACCTCTATGATGACAGAAAAGCCATTTCTTTGGGATGTATTTGAATCTGTGTGTCTGATATTCTGGGAGACTGCATCACTTTAGACAAAATAGTGAGCCCTCGAGGAGGAGGCTTGACCTAGAAAGTTCCCTAACTTTGCCATTCTCCGCCCTCTGATTGGATCTCTCCGGCTCTGCCTCCCGAGCTGTGAAGACCTGCTCTACATCCTGCTGCCTTCCCTTCATGACAGTCTTCTAGCCGTGTCATTCTCATGTCTTTTTTGCTACAGGGATCATTTAAATGCATGCCTTTTTAAAAGCCATCTCTTTTATTCTTGTGCTTCTTAGAGACACTTCAGATGGAGCTTGAGTTAAGATCTGGTGGATGGAATGTGGGTAATAACGTACACTAGTATGATCTAAAATCAACGTTCCCAGACTGGGAGTCATGACCCATTCAGTAGTTGTAAAACCAATTTAATGAGTCAGCTTATCATTTCTAAAAAATGAAATAAAACACAATAGAAAATATCAGAATGTACTGCACATGAAACTTTTATGTTAGTTCTGTTGATACATGTGTACTGGGTCACCATGTAAAACATACTGTCATTGTGGATCATATTAAAAAAACTTGTAAAACATTGATGTCGAATCATAAACGCTATAGGAGAGAGACTGCGAGGGTAACTGAAATTGTCCGAGTGAGACGTGGAGAAACACAGTAAACTACTGAGGGCGCTGTATTGTGGCGGGTTGAGTGTCTCAGAGAGAGCACATTGTGGCTCTCTTGTTTTAAAATAAAATCATAAGAACTCTGCAGCTCCTGTTCATTATTATTTTATTAGGATATGATTGCTTTGCATTTCTGGAGCCACGGTCTGTTCCTAAAAGAGCAAATGTTGCATTTATCCAATGCTCAGCTAGCTATCTGAAAGAAAAACTTTCCCAGTTAGTCCTCAGTTTATTAATTTACTTACTGTTATTCCAAAGCCAGGGGAAGGCCTAACCAGCCAAGAGACTTGTGAGAAGAAGAGGTAAACTTTTTGTTGTCCCATGAGGTTTCTGGGCTTTTGTAACCCTGTGTCATAAACAGATTGATGAAATTTTTTCTTACTGTCTCCTTTTCTCTTCTGGGCTCTTGCTCATGTCATTAAGTAAAGCTTGATGGGAGAACTTAGCCAGAATGGAGTGTCTGATGAGCAGCCATCCTAGAGACAGAACACTTTTTGACTCAAGGAGGAAGCTCTGGTCTCTCTGTAAAACGGGTAAACTGCCCCATCTTTGAGGAGGTGGCCAGTATTGACGCAGTCACAAGTCACTAGCCTGCCTGGGCACCTGATGCTGCATTTGCCTTAGTTAATTAACTGTGGTCCCCAGACAGGGCCTGTTTCATAGGCATGTGACCAATGGGGTTGCACAACACCCCATGCTCAGAAGCGCCACATGCTTGGTTTAATGTTCTGCTATTACTGTCTTGAAATTCTTAATAATTTTGAACAAGAGGACTTGTATTTTTGTTTTTCACTGGGCCCCACGGAATATGTAGCTGGTCCTGCCCCCAGAAGCACCCATGTCTGCCCTCTTTCCTCAGCCGTGGTTCCATACCCCCAAGGTGCTGGTGAATGCCTGCACTGGATAACCTGTAGCATTTCCACAAATGGTGGGTAGCCTAGAAAGGAAGAGAAGAGAGAGAGGAGGAGCCACAGAAAGATGGAGGGCCACAAAAAGGCTCTTTTAGGTTGGGACTAAAGGTTGAGTGGTGTTCATGGGAGGAATGGAAGGAAGAGCATTCCTGGCAGAGGGAACAGCATGGGCAAAGTCAGAGGGGAAGGCAGCATGATTGGAGTGGAGTGTGTGCTGGTGAGTGGCACGGTTGAACCTGGAGTGGGGTGTGGGGTTAGATCCTGCAGAGCCTTGTGGGCCCTGTGAAGGAGGGTGAGCTTGATCCTCAGGGTGATGGTGAGGAACATGCTGTGGCCGTCAGGAGATGCTGGAGTAGCTGCTGTGCTGCATCCTGGGGTCCAGGGAGAGGGGCCCACAGAATACACTGTGGAGCTTGGAAGTTTATGACCATGTTTCCTAGTTTTCAGGGAGACGAAAGGCAACAGTTAGTGATGCATGTGTTCACTCATCTCACATATATTTATGGAGCACTGCACCTGCCAGGTACTGTTTTCGATTCTAGGAGTGCAGCAATGCACAGAACATTGAGAATCCACACCCTCACAGAGCGTGTGTGATAATGGAAGGAGACAGACAATAAAGAAGCGAGAGAAAAGAAAAGAATGTGGAGATGAGAAGTACAATAAAGGGAAATAGAGCCTGGCAGGGAGGGTATAAGGTGATGGGGTGGGGGTTGGGATGTGTCCTTTAGATAAATTGGTCAAGGTAGGATCTCCCAGGTGACACTGGAGTAGAGACCAGATTAGAATGAGAGTCAGCCAGGTGAATATCTAGTGGAAGAATGTTCTGGCCAGAGGGCACAGTGAGTGAAAAAGGCCCAAGCTGGACTTGTTTGGCATTTTGAGGATGAGAGGTAGGCCAGTGTGGCTGGATCAGAGTTGACTGGGAGAGTTGGCAGGAAGTTAAATTGGTGAGGTAGCAGGGGCTGGGTCGTAGGGTCTGGTGTAGGACGTTGGAAGGACTTGGAATGTTATTCCAAGTGATATAGGCGGCCACTGGAGAGTTTTTGTATCTTTTTTTAAAGATTGGTCCTGAGCTAACATCTGTTGCCAATCTTCTTCTTTTTTTCTTCTTCTCCCCAAACCCCCTCAATACATAGTTGTATATTCTAGTCGTAGGTCCTTCCAGTTCTGCTATGTGGGATGCCGCCTCAGCATGCCCTGATGAGCGGTGCTAGGTCCGTGCCCAGGATCTGAACTGCAAAGTCCTGGGCAGCCCAATTGGAGCGTGAGAACTTAACCACTCGGACCTGGCCCCCACTGGAGAGCTTTGAGCAAAGGAATGCATGGCCTTACTTGTATTTTTAAAGGATTATTTTGACTGCTGTGTGGACAGTAACCTGGGGCAGGGGTGAGCGGGATGCAGGCAGCAGGCATAAGGGTAGAAGCAAGGAGGAGGTGAGAGATAACAGCAGAGTGGCAGTGGCAGATCCTGGACATACTTAGAAGGTAGAACCAACAGGACATGAATATCCTGTTTGCGTATGATTGGCTGTGGAGTATGAGAGAAAGAGGATTAAAGAATGACTCTAGGGGCCGGCCCGGTGGCTCAGTGGTTAAGTGCACACGTTCCACTTTGGCAGCCCGGGGTTCGCCAGTTCAGATCCCGGGTGTGGACATAGCACTGCTTGGCAAGCCATGCTGTGGTAGGCGTCCCACATATAAAGTAGAGGAAGATGGGCAGAGATGTTAGCTCAGGGCCAGTCTTCCTCAGCAAAAAGAGGAGGATTGGCAGCAGATGTTAGCTCAGGGCTAATCTTCCTCAAAAAAAAAGGAATGACTCTAAGATTTTGACCTGAGCAACTAGAATAATAAAAATTAGAGCTGCTATTTGTTTCACTTATCTATTGTTGAGAAATTATCCCAAACGTAGTGGCTTACAATGACCATTTTATTTGCTCACAGTTATGTAATTTGGTCTGGGCTTAGCGGGGCAGTTCTGCTGCTGGTCTTGCCAGTGGCCACTCATGTGCCTGTCTTCAGCTGGTGGGTTGGTTATGGACTGGACTTGGCTGGGACAGTGGGCCTCTCTCTTTTTGTGGAGTC